AGAGACACGAAGCTGCCTCAGATGTCATGGACCAGGCAAAAAGGGGATCGCGAAGTCCGGGGGGAGTTTCTGCAAGACCGCTGATGAGAATCTCTGGCGGTTGGAGGAGGTGGATTCGATCTCTGGTGAACGCATTTGGTCAGGTTTGATGTCCGTGTACGTCGATGACATCCTGCTGACAGGTGAAGAGGGGAGCATTTCAGCTGCTTTGGATGCTCTGCGAGCCACGTGGGCCACATCCAGCATCGAATGGGCTTCCAGCACAAATCCAGTTCACTTTTGTGGCTTTGAGATTGCCCCTGATGTTGATGGAGATGGGTACCACATCGCTCAGAATAAGTATGAGCAAGAAATCCTAGCCAGATGGCAAGTCACTCGTGCAGCTGCCTTCCCAAACTTCAAGGTCAGTGAGGCCGATGGAGAACAGCAGCCTGACATCGATCGCAACCAGATCAAGGAAGCACAAGCCTTGGCCGGATCACTTCTCTGGTTGTCAACAAGATCAAGACCAGATTTGGCCTACGGCGTCGCAGCTTTGAGCAGGCTTGTCACCAGAAACCCTGGCAAGGCGATTGAAATTGGCCAGGAACTCCTGGCTTACGTGAAGCACAAACCTGGAGATCTTCACTACCCCAGGTACATGCACAATCCATGGGGAGCCAGAAGCCAACTCAAAGTTCAGCGCCACGAAAAGCTGCTTGAAGTGTTTGCTGATATAGCTTATGGCACAGGCAACGGTCACAAGAGCATGCAAGGCCTGGTACTATGCTTTGCTGGTGCACCGGTGGCTTGGCAGAGTTCCACCCAACCTTTCGTATGTCACAGCACCGCAGAAGCAGAGCTGGTTTCCTATTGCGAGGCCTTGAATGCTGGAAGAGCCACAGAGGCTTTGTTGTGTGCCATGTGGGGGGAGCAGCTCGTGGGCAACACTTTTGAAAGAGTGATCTATGGTGACAATGCTGCCGCAATAGGGTTAGCCCATGGAAACTCCGCCACCTCTTGGCGGACGAGGCATCTGAGGGTCCGTTCCAATATCCTCAGAGAAGCTCTGGAGGGACAAAGCCTGTTTCCTGGTGGCCCTTGGAAGCTCATCCACTTGAAGGGCACGGAGCTCGTGGCAGACGGCATGACCAAGCCGCTCGTGGGTCAAAGCTTCACTGGATTCCAGCAGGACTTGGGCTTGCGAAGTGAAGTTCAAGTGAAGAGGATGATGGGTGGAGGACAGCCGCTTCAACCACAGCCTCAAGAACACCAAGTGGCTCTTCGGGCCTTGTTGGCCGGTGGTTTGCTAGTGCAAGCCGCAGAGGCGCATGGTGGTGCCGGCTCTGACGAGATCTTCGGCAACCTCTGGCTGTGCGGCCTAGTGCTGATAGTGATAGGGGCAATCTGGGTTGCGAGGACGGTTTGCACTTCGGTGCATTGTTGCCTCCGTCGATTGCAATTGCTGTCCAGCAAGCTGCACGTTTCAGGGGATGAGCTGGAGTTTGAGGAAGGGGTCATAACCACACCATTGCCCTCAAGGCGACCAAGATCGAGGAGCTCTACTACAAGGAAGAAAGGGGTTGGTGAAGCTTCACCAACAGAAGACGAGGCTGACAATAGCCCCAGCAGTGAAGAAGAAACCACCTTGGAAGCTCAAACCAAGAGTGGAGAAAGGGGTTTGAGATTGAGGAGCTCTATGGCCAGAACTATGGGGCAGAAGAAAGGTGGTGGGTCCAGCTCAAGTCGACCGCTGGATTTGCCAAGTGAGCGTGTGATCCAAGCAGCTTGTGCCGCTGCTGATGAGGCCGGGAAAGCCGCCGAGAGCGCTGAGATAGCAGCGCATATAGCAGCGCATGCAGCTGAACAAGCCGCCGAGCAGGCGATCGTGGCTGGACATGTCGCCGAGAAGGCGATGGTGGCATCCGAGCGCTTGCACCGCGCGGTGGTTCAGACCAGCCACCATGGAGGTCGGAAGAGGTCACCATCCCCGACCAATCCGTGGAACAAATTCCAGAAAGCGCATTCTGGAAAGGGCTGGTCCATCGAAAAGATGAGGGCCGAATACTACAAGGCGAAAAGCCTTGCAACAAAGCCTTGAGCCTCCTTTTGGACTTTTCCATGTCCACCAGTCTGTCAGAGCGACAGAGGGGGAGTCTGTGAATAGAGGTGTGAACACCTGAAGGCTTTTGTTCTCAAGTGAAGGAAAAAGGCCCGCTTGTGATCCTTTCAAGCTGGGAATCGCATGAATGAGGTAATGGAACATGAGCTGGATCGAGCTGGGTAAATTCTCCATTGTTCATGTTGTGCTCATTGCCTAAGCTGGTAGGGATTTATTGCAAAAAGGCAGAGCCTTGGAGCAACCGTTTGGTGTTTATATCTTTTTGTTTTGGGCGTCCGCACCAGACTCATCTTCCGTCTGACCAGGATGCTGATGGCCAACGAGGAGGCCTCAAGACTCAACGAATTGAACAAGTTGCACTCACTTGGCACCTACCAGTAGCTGTGGTCAAGAAGTTGCTGAAGACTTGAGAGATCTTGAGAGCCAATGTGTCGTTCCACTTTGAGTTTGGTCTTCACCCGGGATTTGAAACCAACGCCTCCTTGCTCGTGCCATGTCCTCTGTCGGGTCCAAACCAGGGAAAACGCTGACATGTGCGCTGCTCCGAAGCAACTTTCCCATGGCTTCCCCACCACATGCGCCACAACAGCCACCCACCGCTGCCGCACACGTCCTGGCTGTGGCACGTGCAAAAAAGGACAATTGTTTCTAATTGTTTCTGCTGTTTTAACATTTTTTTGTCCATAATGATGCTTGGTAGGCAGATTTTGCTTGAGCAAATGCTGCTCAATAATGGACCATGCCGGGATGTCCGTAGAGACCCCAATTTTCGAAGAAAAATACCTGAGCATCAGTCGGCTGGTGCGGAGTTGGCATAATATGCATGTGTGGCATCCAGTGGTTTCCATGCATCAACAAAGTGAAGAGAGGCCATTTAACAGCTTCACTAGGAGAGCAGGCTTATCACATGCAGCTCGCAAATTAAACAAAAGCCTCCACCCTGCTAGTTCCAAACTGCTTCGCGACTCATGGACTGAGGGCCCTGCTGGCGCAATCTCTGCCAGTAAGCAGGCAATGCCCAATGCCTTCATCGGCTCGGTCGGGCGAAGGATTGGAAGAAACATCTTGCTTCGGTCGCTCGGGCGCAGGTGGGAAATCCAAACATTCCAAAAACTCTCTGTATGGTTCCATCGGCTGCTACCACCTCCTACCCAAAAGAAACATCCCGACCACCTCTTCTGCGGTCAAGTCTATGTCTCGGCCCAGAAGCCGACAATGGATGCAAACCTGCCATTGGGCTATGAACACGTCTGACGCAGAAACAATTGATGCAAATACTGAGTGTTCCATGCATTTACAGTAAGTGAGCAGCACGGAATTCGGAATTCCCCTTGTGACTAGAACCGCCTTGGACCCTTAGGCATACCAGCTGGTGCTGCAAAGTTGGCTAATAAATGGAAAAAGAAGAACACGGTATAAATGCAGGCGCAGCTACGAACATACGTCGTTGATGGTTTTAATCCTGCACAATCACACGTCGTTCACTTCTTCGACCGAGTCCGGTGTCACCGATAAGTCTCGGGAGAAGGATGGGCCAGGCAAACCAGGCCATGTTTCCAGATCTTGGAGGTTTCGAATTGGTTCTGCTGTAGCACCTGGCTTTGCTCACTAGCAGGGCCAGAATCATCTGCTGTATAACTGTATAACTCACTCAGAGGAACAAAGGCCGGCAGCATTTAGACTAAAAGAATTCGGCGTAGCGTGGCTTTTTATGAAAGAGCAAAACAAACAGTCCAAAAGGCAACAATTCCTGGAATAACCTTGTTCCACACCTTCACCTATGCAGCTTCCCATGGAAATTGCCTACAATGACTCCTACAATGTCACATTACGCATTCGCTGCACGGGGACATGAAAACGTCGAAAGTCCCGCCATTGGCACAGTCTGCTCTGCCCAGCACCAGAGTGTCAAGCCAGCGCCCGTCAGCGCTGCCTCGGGTCAGCCCGCTCTGAAGGTCCAAACTGTCCAATCCTCCTTTCTGGCATCATTTCAACCCACATGTTTTGGGTCTCGTGATCTACCATGAGTTTGAGTGTGGTGCAACATGGCGGCAACAAAAAATATTAGGACACCTTTGTAGTGGGGATCCAGGTTATCTGTTCATACCTCAGCTCAGTAAGTAGCCAATGTATGTATGTGTTGTTTGTTAATCTTACCCAATAAGTATATGTTTGAACCTAGCGCCAAACCTAGGACCTAGCACCCTGCGTTTTGCTAGCGCGACAAGGTAGCATCCCCAAGTAAAACAACAGAATACAGTGCCAAGCGGTGGCCAAGCTGTTTCTGAACCTGTGGGAACCTGGTAACCTTCCTTACTGAATACATACTACCGGGTTTGTTTTTGAACTCAAATGAGAATTTGCACCATCGAATCGAATTGCTGGATATTGCTGGAATCCTCTGACCTCTGCACAGCATTTGGAAACTTTTTCGTCTTGGACGCCAAGGCCCAGGCTGCCAAGATCGATGTGGCCACTTCTGCGTGGCTCCGCATCATCCGTCTGAGCCTTCACTTGTGAGAACGTGGTACGAAGTACTAAGAATGACCTTCCGAGGGCCAAGCAAAGAGCGCAGCAAGCAAATGATGCCAAGGCAAGCTGATATCTTCAGCAAGTACCTTGGACACGTTTCTGTGACATGCTACCGAATGCTGTCGATGTGTTCTGATGGTGGAACCTTCATGAACCTTCAATAATCAGACCATAAACATCCATAAACCGCATTGTAACAACTCTTCCATGTCCTGGGAATGTCTTATATATATATATATATGAATTGCATACTTATGCAGCTATAACCCACATCCGTTCGCTGCCAGGCACCCAACAAGGTGGCGCCACATGTGGCGCATGTCTCGCCTTTTTGTTCTGCAAGACCTCGTCCTCTAGACTCTAGACTCTAGACCTCCCTCAACGCTGCACGTGCCAGGGGCGAGTGCACCCAGGAGTTCAAGTCTGCCACCCGCGCGTGCAGGGAGGGCTGCCGAGACCAGTAGGAGACCGGCAGCACTGAGGTGAGATACTCCGCCTGCTTCACCAGCTCCTCTGTCCCCAGCAACGAGGCCATGGCCACGTCTTGTGGTGCATTGGCCGCCATGATCATGGCCCGGGTGGCTGCGTCCAAGTCGCCGGCCGCCAGGAAACCCACACGATCAAAGGAGAAGATTTCGGCCCGAGACTTGGCAGCCCAAAGGCCCACGCCCCATGTGCCCAGCCGCAGGGCCCGCTTGAGCTGTCGCTCCTCCCGAGCGGACAACGAGAACACCAAGGCCGCCAAGCGAGGCACCGCGGAGCCGACGGCGGCCGTACCTAAGGCCGAGAGCCCGCCTGGGGCGCGCAAACGCACGCAAAGGGCGGTGGCGGAGTCAAAGCCCGTGGCCATAGGTCGGGTTTGTGGCATCCAAAGGTGGTCAAGGTCCAAGTCTGACCTGATGCATTCAGCAAGTGAGCAACTTGCTTTGATTGATTTTGTTCTACGAAGCTGAACAATTGAACATGAGAAACATGAGACTGCACAAAAAAGAAAAGTTTAGACTCCTTACCCAGAGACAATCCCGGCCAAGTTCCTGATCTCAAACCTCGATACACGTCACAGGCATTTGCGATGCCATCCACCCAGCGTCTTAGGAGCATCCACTGCTTGAAGCTGCGCTTCGGCATGGGTGGCTCTTTGGGCTGCAGGCCTATCACATGTAGAGGGAACAGAATCACATCACGTAGGAAGTGTTGAAGAATCCATGGGCTCAGAAGCTCCGAATGGTGTAGCCAAGCCCGACCCATCTCCCTTCCCAACAAGAAGCGGAGCTCCGAGTCCGAAAGCTGTGAGACCAGTGTGTCTGTGGCCATCAGCACCGTGCGGCGCCCAAATCGGGATGGCAGGATACTCACACGCATCTGCGCACTGCGGATCAGCAGCGTTTCCGGGCAGCTCTTTTGGCCCATCTGCTGGCGGAAGAGTTGCTTGAGAGTCTGGCAACTTTGCTGAGAGGCCTGACTAAGGACCTCAGGGTCCCAGGGTGAGGTGAACTTGAGCAACACCACCCTGAGCCCTGCAACCCTAGACTAAAGCTGGGACATCCCTCTCGCCTGGCTCATGTCTGCTGCCCTGCCATGTCTCATGGTCTGCTCTGCTGCATTGATGTGAGCTTGTAAGCGAAAGTGGAACCGCACCGGCCATAGGAATACTGAACCTCACACGGCGGGCAAGGTTAGCTGGCAGCTGATGTTGTGAGTGTGGAAAATGCTCAGGCATCTATACATACATGAATAATTAACTATTCAGGAAGTACATTATATAACTATATACATATGTATACATATATATATATACTATAGTAATTAGTAATAAGCATGGAACGGCACAAACTCCACAAACCGCAGCTGGAAGGTGAGAACACGAGCTGACGCCATCTGATGCCCCTCCCCCCGCCATGCCAGCGGGCGGCTCACAAAGCTCGCGAGCGGCTCCATCAGAACACGAATGGGAAGAAACAGCAAGTCGCCTCCACGATCCACAGGATGTTGGACCTGTAGCATCGGCTCCCACGCTCCCGAGCACAGGAGCCCTGTGCACTGCCCTGTGCTAATGAAACCGCAAAAAAAAGAAGTTGTGGAGCTGGTCGAAGCAGGTATATATAACTCGTTCTGGAGGTGCCAGTGATTTTGCCCAAGTGAATCTAATTACAGTAGTTTCCAGTTTCTGAAACACGCGCAAAACAACCGAGCCCCTCCTCTTCCAAAGCTATAAAGCAGCTCAATGGTGAAGCCATCAACAGCCTTCAGCATGCAAGGTCAAAAAAGTGTTGCAAAGCACCCAGCATTGTCGCTGTCTTCACCCTTCAAACCAGGAACCCAGTTGCAAATGCGGTACCACATCTTTGTTGAAACGTATAAACAGCCGTGAATCTCAATGAACCTCGCGCGTGTATGGGATGATGCCAAGACCCTGGCAGAAAGCAAAGGACTATGCAGCTCAATGCTCGGCTGTGACGTCCTTCCGGCAAAGGAAACTCAATACCAAACCGAAAACTGAACATGCCCAACGGGAAGCTCCTGATCTCCCTGTGTGCGCATCACCATGCTCAAGTCTGGCTGAGGCTGTCATTCTGCAACAAGAATCGAGCCGGTCCAAATTGCAAACGGCTGTTCCATGCTGTGCAGCTCAAGCTTGTGGAATAAGGTTGGGAAATTGGTGCGTTGCCTAAGGTGTGATGTTTGAAGTCTCAAGGACTTGATCTTGAGTCAGCATCTTGACGTACCCTCGGAGCTAGCGGGCTGGACCAATCAAACACAGTTCAAGAAAATATGTCGGTGTAGAATATCAGATTGAGCCAGGATGTCTGCATTGCTGAGACATGGCCTGAAAACCCTCTACTCTACTCCATGAAGCGTTTTGATCAATGTTGGCACGACACATGACACAACAGAGCGCACCAAACATGCGCTCAAACGACCAAGTCTTTAGCTTCGGGCCACTTCTCAACCGCCGATGTCCAGTCCTTCTCCTCCCTCAGAAGCAAATCTAACTTTTGCAAAGTCTCCATTCATGACAGGCGCGAACGGATCATTGAAGCATCTCGAAGCCGTTTCTTGCTTCATCTCTTGCACAAAGTCAGCACCGAACCTGGCTGGCTCAGTACCTGGCGCTGGCCCAGTGCCCAACTAGTCATATTCAGACTGAAGCGACTCGACGCTAAAGCACCGCCAAAACCATTTGGAAATGATGGCACTGGGTTTTAAGAACTGGTGCCCTGATCATGGGGTATGAATCCTTGATCTGTTCAAAGCCATGAAAAGCCAGAACGACACCACGACACAAAACCATTCAACCATCTTGAAGTGATGCACCGTGAAGGCTTTGGACCGCTGCGATCTCTGCTTTCGAGACCGAACATCTAACAACTGTGAGTTTCAAAAAACTATGGCAACAGGAACTTCTACCAACCTGCACATCACCATAATATCTGCGGAAAGAAAAGGGTAAGCTCACAATGATGTGCTAATCCCCTTCAATGATGTATTTATTCTCAGCGCCTCATGGACCAATCGCCTCCACTCTTTTGAGCTCTTCATCTAGCTTTGGTTTCTATGCACTCATAGGGTGGCGAGTTCGGAGTTGGACCCTCCATGCAGTGCTCCAACACATGTTTTGGAGCCCAAAAATGAGCCAATATGAGAGGTCCATCACCTGCAACTCTCTCAGGTTATGGGTGAAACTGCTCTGCTAGTGCAGAGCTTAGAAGACCTGATCTGATTTCACAGGCCTGGCTAAGGGCTCCTATTGCCACTACTTCTCAGGTTTTCCTGCACAAGATCCCCAGCAGTGCGGCTTCCGGCGTTTGGAAGCCATCAAGCCAAGCGGATTCTGTGACAAAGTTTGTCCAACTCCAACTCATTGAATGCAATCAATCAATTATATAGAGACCTTCATGAATAATGATCGTCGGATTGAAAAAAAACACGGTTGAAGCGGTTAAAGACTCACAACTGCCACTGGAATCCGCTGCAAGCTCTTGCTCGGCCTCGCACGAACTCGTCAGGCCACAGGAGGTGCCTTAGAAACAGGGACAGGTCGCATATTCGAAAGGAGTCCAATGAGCAGTTTCAAGTCATGCCTCAACCAACAACCTATCCTGAGTTGGCCCTGGTGTGGCCTACAATTCATGCTCTAACCAAGTGTCACACGAGTATGTTTTAGAATTCTGGCATGCCACTTCCTCACACCTGGACAACAAGTCGCTGGGACGGCTTTCAAGGACCTGCCCAATTCGACATGCACAGGCTAAGAGTAAGAAATTAAAAACAAACACGGTGGAGGTGCACGTACCAATGCTAGTCACAACCCCGCCACACAAATTCATGTTTTCCTTTTGCATTCTCCTTGATTTTCAGCTGACTCTCCCCTATTTAAGCTATCAGTATTTTAAGCCCTTTTGGATCCCCCGTCAATTACCACAGCTTAGATCAGGTGTCACTGGCCAGGTGGCCGGGGGCGGCGGAGATGCGTCCTCCGCTGGGCCCTCGTCGTAGGTCGTCTCCTCCGTGGCTTCCGTCTCCGCCTTGGTGGGGTGGCGGTCATCCTCTGCCAGCAACGCGTAGATCTCGGCCTCGGTGGGCTGTGTGGAGTTCAACACGAGGTGTTGAAGAATGTGGAAGATAATTACATGATAACTTACAATATATTGATCTTATATATAAAGGAATGAATACTATGGGTTGCTGAATGCTACTGATTGGTCAGCCTGTGACTCATTTAGGCCCATGCTTATCCTTTCGAAACGCGCAAGACTAAGACCTCCAACTATCATGTTGGAGGCTCAGGGTTCTATTTCAGTGGACGCTATGAGACCAAGCAGCAAGCACTTCATCTGGAGGATGCTCCTTGTTCTTGATTGCCAAGGAAATTGCTTCCTTGAAGACCCTCACCACATTTGTCCCATCAGCGCATGACACCTCAAGCAACAAAGTTGCAGCTAGGCTAGCAGGAAACTTTCGAAGGCGCTAACTCTTTCTCATGCTCTGTTGAATCGTACAAGAACCACCTCCAACATGCAAAGCCCCTCATACTTCGATCTGCCAAGAAGCAAAAAAGAATGGTAGCTGATGAGTGAGTGGGAAGTTGAATTTCCTGGGTGTGACCACGGGTGAAGTTGCGCACTCGCTTCTCTGCTTCCTCTAGGCCCAGTCAGACTTGCAAGAGCTACTTCAGAAGTCAAACAGTATGATGCGAATCATCGACATTCACATCTAAGCATGTGCACTGGTGGTACTCTAGGTATGTCTGTGTCTGATCCTTGGGATCAAATCTCTACCAAAGAAAATGGCAAGAATGTTCCGCATCCACCGGTGACGCCGAACTTGACGCCGTCGCTGTTTGAGCCGTTTGAGGCCGTGGGCTGTTGGACCTCGACACCGTACAGGCTGAATACTGCCGAGCCTCTTCTTAGCCATTGATGGCTCTACATCAATCTTGTTTGCCACGCAAACAACTGGTATATCAGGACCTCGTTCAAAAATCCCGACGGTACAGGCTCAAATCTGCAAAATGGGCACTGTTGGGACAGGGCATAAGAGCCACAGCTAGGCTGCTGACAATAGTGCCGGATTTCTTTGTACCACCTAAGCAAATCCAGTGCTGAGCAATGTGTGGGGTCTTGCATAGTTAAACTAACCCCTATAATAATACATATTATATATATCATATTATGTGTCGTATGCATTTCAATCAGCATTCCACAACCTAAATGAAACATACAAAGTGTATTCTGCATGTCCATAATTATCTCATCTGACACTTCTTTTTCATGCAATCCGTAGGGACCTGGGGTCCGAACGTCTCCAGATTTTTGTATGTGATTTTCCGCGTCACGTCGAAGGCCAGGATACACGCATTGGCCTCACTAGTGGGATGTGTGCCGCAACCCGTGTGGCTGGTGCACACCGCCTTCCCGCGCTGATGGGTGTGTAATATACTACAGTATACTAATTTACTATGACTATGACTATGTTAAACCCTGTTGAAGGTCTAACAATCCTCTATGTTTACGTTGACTATGTTGAAGGTTTACGTTACAATCCTCTAGTAGGGCCCAGGACTCGCTCATTTCTTCAAGCAATCTTGAACATGCTTGAAAATTGCATCCCATAATTATCACTGGTTATTATTGGCCCTCGCCTGAAAATAGTACGAAGCATGTAGCTTCAAAAACTGCTCCTGTCCGGCCGTGTCCCAGAAGTCTATGGTCCATCTTCTGCCATCCTTGCACCCGCAGGACTGCATCCAGAATTCACATGAAAATTGGGCGCTGATGGTTTGCTTTCTCCAACTGTGGATGAATTCCATGGTTCCAAGGCAAAATGTGTTGGAACTCATGGTCCTCGGCCGTGTGGTGATATCGGAAGAGTGTCAGGGCAAAGGTGGAGAGCGTCCGTGGATTGTACTCTTCCTGGGTGAAGCGCCCATCGGAAAATGCATCGACGCTCGCGTCGGATGGACATCTAAACCAACAACGACAACCACCACCACAACCATAAGGTATGGAAACATCGATGACACATTCTGTTCAGTTGTATAAGTGCAAGCAACAACATACAAGAACACCGTGAAATGAGGCTGCAACCACGACGACGAATTGAGGACCCAACCCCCCACACCCAGCAGCACCTCACGCCGAGCGACAAGAAGAAAGCGTTCAACCATCTTAGACTTTCCAACTGCGGAGTCACCACAAAGGATAATCTTCAAGTCCTGAGCGGATTCTCGGCGGACCACTCAGAGTTTTCTTCAAACGAAAGAACGTGGCTATACACTGCTGGCAACTCGGCCGTCATTCACCGCCCAGCTAAGCAGCGTTGGTCCGCGAATGGCTTCGACTCCTAAGATTGTGTAGGTGGACCTGACATATGAGTAGCCGCGTAGCATCTGGTCTGTATCCAGAGCAAGCCATGTGGAACATGCTGACCAACGTTCGGGACTTCAAGACATGATCGCCTCTTGAAACTATGTTGCATCATGAATGACGTCGAACAAGGGGCTAGCGGCTAGCATGAAAAAAGTGACGATATGCCTGCTTGGCAGGCCCGGTGTTCTTGTACCCGGCGGTTGTCGCTTGAACTGTGAAACTATACCGCTTGCTAAGCATGCTAAGCTTTATTACTGTGGAGGACCTGTTTGCGTCATCACTTTCTTGCTCTCCTATCTTCCCAGCGGGCAATGTATTTGTTCATTGGTTCTTAATTGAGCTTTTTGTAAAGCCCGCCCCTACTTATATATATATATAGTTACCGTGTATATGTATATATATATACATATATACGTAGGCCCTTACTTGCATAATTGAGTAAGGGCTAAGTTAGCTTCTAGGTAGGACGCACGATAGCTCACGCTCGCACTAATGATTTGGTTTCTAGATTTTTAGTAAGCGACAACACAAGCATCAAGAACAAATTCAAAAATAATCAAAAATAGATTTAAAACATAGCAACTCTTTGATGACAACGAGAGGAACACCCTAGAATACCACCTTCCAGAATCCCAGAATAGCTTCTGCTGGCGTTTGATCATCTTCGGCCAAGGGCCCTGGAACTTCTTCCGCCATGGCACCAGAACAAAGATGTGAATTGTCAAGAAACCTGGAGGAGTGTCAACAGTTGATGCTGCTGATGCTAAGAATTGTTTAGAGCTGTGCGGCTTGTTGAGCCGAGCTTAGCTTTCATGGACATCCTTTCTTGGCCAGCTTTTTGGGCCAAGACTTGCGTGAAGCCGTGCCAAACACCGCGCCGACCTTGCAAGGTGTTCTTGACACCACTTCATCTTAAGACCCATCGGGCAAACCTAATGAGCTTCCGACCTATCCCTGGCGGATCTGGGAAGCCCACTGCACAAAATGGTCTCTGTCTTGAACATGTAAAATCAACCCATTGAGGCATTCTTACAGGATCTTGCAGGGTGTTTCGCCTACTTGCCAAACCGCGCTTCTGTCGTGCCCACGGGCTCAGCATGGCCCAACCGGCCAACCGATCAATGTGAGACCGTCTTGGGCCTCGTCTTGGCTTGCTCTCTTCAGACCAAGACGCCCCAGATCCAAACCTGGAAGAGTGCACAACTGCCATGCCAACATCCATACAAGAACACTGTTGAAGTTCTTAGCAAACATCTGGCTCACAATCCCAAAACAGGTGGTACGAGCACCACAAAGAAATTAGAACAAATTATTGATATATTTATACACCGAAATGATCCAAAAAATTAGCATTTTTGATCGTCAGCTTGGAAAGTCCACTTCTCGGAACTGCACAGGGCTTCTGCATGGGGCCCCATGACTTCTGGGTTGATTTGACCCAACAAGTCGCAACCGCAAGCGGAGCCTTCGAAGCTCCAGCGAAGGCCGCACGCGAGCGAACGCCGCACCTCATCTCTTGGCTCGGCCAGCGCGACCTCGAAGAACCGACCCGCGCGATCGGGCAATAAAGTGATATGGGAGAACTGCCCCACATGACCGCTTAGATTGAGGCCATCTTGGCCCCCCAAGCGAAACTGATAAGATGGCCCAATAGCATCCCCTCCACAACCCAAAACATGTGGCGAACGGTTGTGTCACTAGGGGCAAGGCAACTTCCCAAGCGAAAGACCCGTTAAGGGCCCAACCCTGCTTCCGACTCGGATGCTGAGACAATCTCACCCTCCTCACCTTGGTGACGGTCGGGGTGGTCGAGGGGCTCAGGGTATGACAGCCAAGACATGACTGATCATGACTGTCACGAAGGATGACAAAAACAAAATAACAAACATCCGGTACGAACCAAAATGGCCACACCAGTATTGTCAAAATCTCTGGTGCACCACTGGCCATCAAAAATGAAGACATGCCTGAAATATGCTGGAATTTCGACGTGCCAACCCCCAACTCCACACGGTTTTTGCTCTTGGCACGCTTATGGAACTTCTTCGCACGACTGGCCATACCTGGATTGGAACTCCTGCTTCGCAAACTGCAGGAGCTCGTGATCCAAACTGTTCACCTTGGCGTCTTGAGAACGACGGCGTGGGCTTTGTCATACCAACATCTAGGGATGATTCAGATGGATTATGTGGGTAGTATGACCAAGTGGGGCAATCACGGTGACTGGATGCGCTGGTCAAGTTACTGCCAAGATCTCCTTCTGAACATCTTTGCTCAGGAACTCTCGCCAGAAATTGCGGCTAGGCCCTGTGAAGCTCAAGCGCCTGCTGGCCCGAATTTGCCGGGCCTTCTCCATGGTGTGCTTCCAAACATGAAGGTCCTTGTGGGTAGCACAAACAGATTCGACCGGATCTATTCAATGGCAACTTCTACGACATGGGCCATGCGCACCTAAGCAGGAGTCTACAGTATAGTAATGCTTTCTATTCTATCTCCGCCACCCAGGTTCTTGGAGGTGCTTTAAGAATATGTGGGACAAAGATGGACAAAGGCCAGCACCACGCCTGCTTCTCATGCGCTAGTTCGAGGGCTGTCTTGAGATCCCAGCCCAGCAAGGGAGCCATCACTTCGATCGAAGACTTGAAGCAGTCGACAATGCCGAAGGCGTCTAAAGATCTCAAGTGCTCTTTGGCCAACTCCAACAAACCCGTGAAGTTCTTGTCCCAATCGTAGGCCAAGGCTGGATATCCAGACTTCTCCGGCTCGCAAATACACGCATTGCCGCCACAGCGGGTCTTGTTGCATTCCACACGCTGGAAGCCTAATAGGTAAAGAGTCTGTCGATTTCGAGACGGGTTCCTGGGATGATGGAGATACTTCTGGAAAGATTCGCTGAGGTCCTCGATATTCAGAATGCGATCAATCTCGGAAAGATCATTGGCATGGACATCCCACTGGTCGAACGACAAGAACTGCCGATGCTTCAGCCGAAGCATAAAATACTCCGACAATGTCCTCTCCTGGCAACAACAGCAAGGGGTGCTCAAAATGTAGGGCTCTTGTCTTCAATGCTTTTGACCAGGCTTACGGTGATACAGTGTGATGGGCGAAAAGGAGGCTTCAAATGTTTCATATAATGTCCGCCAAGTCGCAATGGGTTCCCGAAGGATCGTCACGATGCATCCGCGGCCTTTCCCACTTTGGGTGAATTGCCTTGCATAGTTGTACTCTAGATGATACTGGTACAGCTCCACAGCACAACGCTGCTTTCCAAAGTTGCAGCGATCCCAACCTAGTTTACACGTTTGACGGTGTCGCCCACACATCTGTTGCATAATCTGTTGACCAAATGTAGTCGACGCAGTTTTTTGAATCCTCAGAAATGCTATCGTTGAGCAGTTCTGTGCAGGGGTGGTCTGGCCCATTTTGGCCTGCCCCACCGCACTGGTCTGCACAGCCGTGGTGGTCTGCACAGCGGTGGTTTGCCCCGCAGTGGTTGCCAAGGTGCTTCTCGCTTCAGTTGAGGTCTCCATTCCTTTGGGCAGCGGCTCGGGTGCCGCCCGAGTGCCCGAAAGCCATTGCATTTTGAACTGTAGTTTCTGAAAGTCGCTTTCCGACAAAGAAGAGTGCCCAATAGAAGCCAACAATGAGAAGCTGCACAGGAAACAGCAACTGCAGCAGAACTTGTAGTTGTCAAAGCCATGAGCCTCTGCTCGTGCCGCCCTTGCCCGCCTTACCATACCTACATGTTGCCAAGCCGGCGGAGAAATGGCTGGGCACTAGACGTGTTCTGCCAGTAATTGTAATTGTGTCCAGCACATCTCTAAGGTTAAGGCTACCTTTTGATGTCAGGTGAAGTCACCCCCTCAACCTTCCAGCCCATGCAATGCCTACAACCATACCCTCCCTGAGCTTCATCGTGCTCTTAGAAGCTTCTGCAACCAATCCTTTGTATTCTCATGCACTCTCAAGGTTTTCAGAAAACAGCTGCAGGCATCACTGTTTACCTTTGAGTAACAAGACCCCCCAACAGCGAGATGGAAAACCATCCTGACATTAGTCCTCTAATGTCCGCTGTGGCTTCAAAGGTAACGTTTTTTGCACGATGGAAACATGCATTGACTGGTCTTAGCACGGCTGCCCCATCTACCCACAGCTGTCGGGCGGATGCAAACAAGGAATACAATAAATGCCCTTGCCCAAGAGAAGAATGGGGCACGTATGTTTCTCCCAAAAGTTGTTCGAAGTGCGCAGGAACAGCTGACCAGCATATCTCACAGTCACAAGTGCTTGCAGCCGCCATTGCAGCCTTCCTTCAGAATCTGCACCGATCTGAGGCTGCATGAGGCTCCCCGCGCTCTCTCTTCCTTCTCCCCTTGGGAATGTCCTCCCGCAGCCGCTGCAACACCTGCTCACCACACCGTTCCAAAAGCGGAGCATCTTGGACTTCCACTGCTATTTGGAGTTTTGCCCTCCTGCGCCCCTGGCCCTCTAGGTGCAGGTGAAAGAACGCGTTGTTGGTGGACTATGGTGGACTCCTATGTTTTCCAGCCAGAAATCATGTTAACCTGGTGCCCCAGCATCTCAAACGCAATTCTTGGCACGACCAGCCACCCACATCAACAGCCTCTCGAGTCTTCTGCTCGGTATCCTGGCAGGGGAAGGTTCGCGCTAAAATCGACAGCTGCTATCCAGGAGCCCGGCCAGCTGGCACGCAAGCTTGCTCCCATGGAACATCCTTGCAACAAATGTCAGATGGCCTGCTGATTCTTCGGAAGGGCAAGAAATAGGAAGCTGATTGATGATTATATAATTGATCTGTTGTCCACTGTCATTCTTTTGGCAGGATGCTGCAACAAGGTGCAGATAGTACAACTACTGAGCGAAGGCAATCTCAGGCATCCACGGAGCTGATGAAGAGGAGCTGTTGGTCAGTAGGTCTTGAGTGTCCAGGAAAGACATCAATGGCCTCAGTGGGCGAAGGCGAAGAATCCTGTGTCTACAAACGAGAAAGACCAGGAGGGAAGATTCATCAATGACCTGGCAAGTGCATGTTAAAATTGATCAATCATGCTCTACTGTATACAGTGTTTTTGTGGCCCTCATCGGCGGAAGCAAAACTTTCGGAGCCACAGTCCAACACTTAGACAATCACTAGCTTTCGAACCAATTTCTTTGATGAAGGCCCATCTGAACTGCCCATCTGAGCTCCCAACGGAGCCCGATCATCCCGGTTGGGCACCTCTGGCTTGGTTCCGCTGACCGGTGGGACGGGCGGTCTGTGGGGCAGCTCTCCTTGCGGCAGCAAAAGGGAGACGATGGAACCCCCTAACCGACCTTGGACCGGACCTGGGAGATAAATAAATCCTGCAAATTGCTTCTACATTCTACACGCATAGGATGAGACCCCGGGAATCAACTATAGGTAGTGCATGAAGTCTTTCGTTGCGACTGTTGGGCGGACAGGCTGCGCTTCAGTTGGTCCTGCAACAGGCAGCCTAGCAGAAGGATGGGACACTTCAGTGGACTGCAATCCTTGGAGAGTACATAGCTAGGCAGCTGGACCCATGTGTGGGGTCCTAGGCTGAGCAATCTGTAACATAATGCATTATAAAAAAAATAATGCCCCCACCACGGTGACAGCATGGAAAGTCAGCAAAGTAACATCATGCAACGTCCAATGAGGCGAAAATAAAGCGAATGCATACAAAAGCCCTGAAGTGGCTCTGAACTCGTGGC